ATGCCACGTCACCATCGAGAAGGACGGGGGCTGCAACCACATGGTTTGTCGGAACCAGAACTGCAAAGCAGAGTTCTGCTGGGTGTGCCTGGGTCCCTGGGAGCCCCACGGATCTGCCTGGTAAGTTTAAGAGCGCGTCTCACTGGAAGGCGAGGAAGCCCTGATGTGAACCATGTCCATTGGGAACTGAAACCTGTGTGCTGTCGGTGTTGCTTGTTCCAGGTACAACTGTAATCGCTACAATGAGGATGATGCAAAGGCAGCAAGGGATGCACAGGAGGTGAGTCCATAACCTTTGGTGATAAGGGGGATCAGCCCCGTGGTGTGTTTTCTGTAAACCTGTAAATTAGCTCTGAAGAATTTCCTGGATTTGTGTGTGAAAAGGGAGTTGAATTTCCCCCGCTGCTTCGTGCTAGAGAAAAAAAAACGACTAAACACTCATAGCCGCTTTAACCCAATTTTAGGAACGTTAACTCAGTTATTACCTGTCACGCTGCCTTGCCTGCTTGATAGCAGCTCTTAATGTGAAGTCATCATGATGCTGTGGGTCTGAGGCAACAGTCCTCACTTCCTTTGTGAAATGCTTTTTACCACAAAGTTCTTAATGCAAATCCTGAGGTGTTTAAGCACAGCAGACTGAACATAAATAAAACAGCCTGCTGTAGTTGCAGTAACTACCCTTGGAGACTCAGTGTTAAAATAATTGTGGGTGAAGTTGCAGCTGTTTTTTGTGAACAAGGTTAGAGCCAACCCCCTTTTTAACGGGGTGAGGTTGCATGCTGTGTGCTGCAGCTCGCAGAAATCCCTTTTCTGCATCTCAGGCAAAGTACTATTATGGCCAAGAACCAAAGTACTTCCTGCAGCAAATCCTGTAACCTGAATTGAGAGGCTGAAATTCAAACCAAATCAGACTGTAGCGATGTGATTTCTAATTACTTTCAAGGTCTGGAATGAGGATGTCAGAGCTGTGTGAGGAAGTCCCCTGCATGACAGCAAGCCTGTCCTCTCCATACAACGTCAGGGTTAACAGTGCTGTGCAAAGCGGTGCCGTGTAAGTCTGGCCAGTGTGAGAGGAGAGGAAGCAGCTTTGGGCAGGAAGCTTGTTCTCAGGGTCAGGAAGAGCCTTTGAAGGGTTTGCTTCTCTCATGGCCATTACTTTGTTTTAACTCTTGGTTTTCTTTTTTCCCCTAATGGGAATTAACGCAGCGATCCAGAGCAGCCCTGCAGAGGTACTTGTTCTACTGCAACCGCTACATGAACCACATGCAGAGCCTGCGCTTCGAGCACAAGCTCTATGCTCAGGTGAAGCAGAAGATGGAGGAGATGCAGCAGCACAACATGTCGTGGATCGAGGTGCAGTTCCTGAAGAAAGCAGTCGACGTCCTCTGCCAGTGTCGTGCCACACTCATGTACACTTACGTCTTTGCCTTCTACCTCAAAAAGAATAATCAGTCCATTATCTTTGAGGTAGGAGAAAATGTGCTTGTCAGGAGTTTGGATTACAAAGCTAACCGAAATAGAGATTTAATGCTTGGAGAAGCTCTTGTCCCCAGTTTTACCAAAGTGAGTCTGTATTAATGCTCTGTTGTGCGAAAGTTATAGGTCTGCTGGGCATCCTGCAGCTGGAGGAGGAGGTGGAGGTACAAGATGCTTTCCTCCGAAACATGAAAAGTAGTGAGATTCTGTCTTGAATTGGCAAAGACGGCGTTAAAGCTTAAATCTGACAGTAGGGA